CAGTGCCACCCAGCCCTCTATCTCCAGCTGAGCCAGTGGGAGAACTGGGAGGGTGCCTGGCCCTCTCTTCACTGTGGCTAATGTTTGCTAGGCCAGTTATGGTGAACCAATGATAGTGTTTTTCCCTTTTAAGTGTCCCTCCCCGTTTCTCCTTTTCAGGGTTTTCTGGAAGATGCTGTCGTGGTCATTTTTCTTCCTCTCATTAGGGTTTGAGGGTCGTGGCTGGTGGAGGCCTGCCTTTCCTTGGAGGGGCCTGTGGTTTCCGTGCAAAGAGTGCACCTGCTCCCACCATGGTGAGGGTGAAGGTGGCCACTGTTTGCTATATTCATGCCTCCCACAGCCACCGCCATGGGTGTCACTTTAAAGATCCAAATCCTGCACAGAGAAGGAATGGCTAGGTTTGCAGTTGGGCGCCAGCATCAGGACCCACGAGGGTCCTAGCCACCTGCGCATCCCACTGGGCACCTTGACTCTTTGAACCAAAGTTCCTTCAAGGGGCACCACCCAGCCTTGTCCACAACCTCAGGGACCTGGGATCCCTGTGGTGCTTCCTGAAGTCCAGGTTGACAGAGACCATGGGGTGTGAGGCCAGCTGGAAGGAGAGGGGCTCCTCCCACAACCCGGGTGCCAGCCGGTCCCCGCCCCTGGGACCCACCCTCTCACCCAGCCAAGGTGGCTGGGTTTCCTAGTGGTGAGCGGGCACACGGCCTGGCATGGGGCTGGAGGCTCTCAGACCCACCCCGCAGCGCATCCAGGGCCGTCCAGATCCCAAGCATCAGGAAATCATTTTGTACGACCACCTGCAGCAGAGATATTTTTTAAAAAGCATAAATTATTTTCAGTTGTTTTCTGATCTTACCTTTTTCTTTTCCCCACAACCTCATGTCGGTGACTCTTTCACATCAGGTAAATCTTGAGAAAGCGTTGGTGCCCCCATCCCATGTCCTACTCAGTAACCACGTGTGTGCACCCCATTCTTTCTCAATAGTTAAGACGTTCTAGGCAATACCATAGGCACATCTGTGTCTCTCTCTTCGAGTGCAAGAAACTTAAGTCATCTTAAAAAAAGACAAAAAAAAAATTTACAAAAAAACAAACACACAAAAAAAATATCTTTTTTAGGCCAGAGTTTTCTACAGGTATTAATGAATATTTTTCTTAATCCTTATAAGTTTTATGTGTTTAATATTTCTTAATACCGGTAGCATTAATTTATACTTTTGTAGCGACACAATATTTTTATAAACAGCCAGTGCTTGGCTCAAGTCTCCACAAGGGGTTTATGCAGGGCCATCTTGGCACCCTGTGTACCATGTACTGTATTTAAAAAAAAAGTTACCTAGTGTCACCCTTGCTGTGTTAATTAACAAAAGACGTTGTTTGCGGTCTCCTGTGTCATTAGTGTGGATCCAACCGGTCTCCGAGGAGCCACATTGCATGGGGGTTGAGTTGACGGTTCTTGTTGTGATATGTAAACCCCCGAGACCCAACTTGAGGGTTTATTTAGGATTTTCTGTTTGTCCTTGGGTTTCTTGTTCCACTTTGTTTGGGTACTGTTTCTCCATTTACAGCCAAATCAGTCTCGTGATATTTAAAGCTCTCACTGATGTCAAATGGAGGAAAGGAACAGAAAGAAGAAAAAAAAAAGATTTTTACAAAGTAATAAAATTTAAAACTGAGCTGTTTAAATGTTGCTGTTTTTACCTGTCTGTTCTTGTCTGAAAGTGGGACATTCCCAGGAAGGAAAGGAAGGTTCCAGTTGGTTCCTTAAATCGCCAAAAGCCCCCACCTGTATTTCAGCTCCCCCTGCCCTCTGAATTCTTGCAACATTATTTCCCAGTTGGTTGATGCCGAGGCAAAAAGACATCCTTTTAATGGTTAGAGAGGATCAGTTGCTTAAATGATTTCATGTCAGTGTTGTATTTATGGTTTTACAATAAAACGATCTTTAGGAAGATGGTGGTGTGTGATATTGTTTCTTGAGTTTGGGGTTGGGTCATGTCATCTGGTTAGGAGGACACCTCCAGGGCACTGGTGAGTAGAGACAGACCAGAGGCAGGACACTGGGGGTGACAGAGCCGGAGCCCTCAAGGGGACGCTGTGTGAGGTCTGGGTTGTCAACTCCTTATCTGAGCTCATTGCTTACCTCCAGCAGCAAATCTGGCTTGGCCAATGTTTGCTAAGTGAGGGTGAGACATGGCCCCTGTGGCCTTGCTTTATGGAGCATTATCCCATGGAAGAAGGGCAGGATTTAGTCCTACAGGCCCAATGCCTAAGGGACACACCCATGTTCGCCTTGTGCAGTGTGCCCGGGGGCCTTGACCTCCCAAGTGACATGTATAACCTTATATGTTGTATTGTCCTCTGTCTTGGTAAGAGTGTCTGTGGCTTTGCCAAATCCCAATGGCATCTCAGTCTCTAAGCACGTTAAAAACTGGCGCCCTTCCCAGTGAGCTGCGGAGGACCAGCCTGGGGGCACTTGCCCTCCGCCAGCCCCGTCCAGAGCCTCACACGCTACAGATGGGCGCACAACAGTGTTTCTCTTGAGTAGTCAAATCGCAGGCCAGTCAAGGAGAGGACACCCCCAGAGGATGAGCTGCGGCCTGAGTGGACCAGGAAGGGTGACAGGGCCACCGTGCAGGCCTGCTGCTGCCAGAACAGCCCATCTGAGGTAAACCCACTGCTGTGCTTTATCCCTCCCTGCACCCAGGTTATGGCTGCTCTCCATGAAGAGGATGTGTTTCTCAGATCAGCTGAACAAAGACCATCAAATCCCCACGAGGACTGGCCCATGTAAGGCTGTTAAGCTGGGCTAGCCTCCCAGAGGGCAGCAGCTCTGCCCTCAAAACCATCCTTCCGTGGGAGTTTCCGGCTGTTATGTGTTGCGTGTGGACATCCCTGAGCACGCGGTTGAAGTTTAATCTAGGAGTTTTTATGTGGTCCAAAACAGAAATCAGGAGGTCTGTAGCTGAGAGAATCCTCCCCCACCCTTGGGAGCACTGCAGTCAGGTAAGGCCAGGGCATGGCCCAGGGCCTCATGCAGTGGCAAGGCCTGCCTCTGGATTGAAATTTCGCTTTAAAAAGTTGTTTCCTTATAAAGCAGTCATGTCTGTTTTGTCACAGAAATGAGTGTGAACAGTATAAGAGAAACGCTGAGGTGAGACAACTTAAAAATCAAATGAGTCTTCAGCCACTTTGCTGAGCATGATTCTAGTGCCTTCTGAAATGAGTACCCTGAACTCCTGACTCAGGGTCACAGATGGTGCTTCAACCCCATCCCCTGAGGGATCAAGTCAGGATCCAGTGGAACTTTCCATAGTGAAAGTTGGAGCAAATCATGGACACAAGTGCCTGTCAGACTGGGCAGGGTGACAGGCAGGGCTGGTGAGCCACAGGAGAGGCCTTATCCAGAGGGGCCATCTACTCAGCTCCTGTCCCTCGGTGTGCAGGATGCAGGCCCAGGGCTGCTGCTGCTGGAACCTATTTCTCAAGACAGTTGACAAATGTACATTTTTAAGTGGGAGGCCCATTTTTAAACAGTAAGTTCAGAACTGTAAAAAGCTTATGAACCAAACATCCCAGCCACCAGCTGAAGTTGGCCTGCCCACCTGCAGCATGTACCCTTGGGTTTAGGCATTTGTCTTTCAGGTCACTTAAAAAATATTTTTCAGGGTAGCACCTTCAAACTTCCATAGGTGGCCGACCCCAGTGGGTGAGGCATGCATGAAGGGGAGGAAGGTATGGACACTGGATGCGATGATATTTGTTAGTTCCGGGTTGGACAGTCAATCACTTTTCCTTGAACATTGCCTGTGTCCCTGCCCCTGACTCCATCCACTTCTGCCAGAGACTTCTGGCAATGACCACCAACACTCCCTGAGGACAGTGTCTCTGTTGGAGCATAGAAGCCCCAAGCTCGGGACTTTTGGGGGAGAAGGGAGAAGGGACTTTCTATGTGGTCTGCAAAACTTTCTGCACCCAAATCCTTGCCTCTGGGCTTATCCCCTCCACCAGACATGTGCAGTTCCCTCCCTTCCTTCCTGACAGGTCTCTTGAGCAAATGGGCTAATGGCATGAGAAGGATGCTTGACTGAATGAGCCGCCAGCCCTTGGCACGCTGGTCACCCCACAGAGAAGGGGCATTCTGCCATTGGGGGCCCCCCTCTACTCCAGAGCCCCAAAGTTGGGCTTCTTACTCCCTCAGCAGTGCCAGCAGCCATCAGGGCTCTGGGCAGATGGAGCTAGCAAGAGATCTTTGTAAATCAGATGTTTGTAAATCCAGTGTATCTAAACTGAAGGCTCCTAAGTCATGTTCTTGGGCCAAGTTGGTGCCTGCACCACCCTGGACAACCCTGTTACTCTCTTCCATACTGGAGGAGAAGCCAGCAGACTGAGAGCTTCCAGCTCTGGTCCAGGGCCTCACAGGTTGTCCTGGACACAATGCAAAGGTCAGTGAGCAGTCTTCCAGGGCAAAGGGTGAGGATCCCAGGAGGTAAGATCTTGGAGTGGAGAAGCTGCCCGAGGGTTTTCAGCTCCTGGCAGCTGAGCCTAGGCATGTGCCTATGGCCAAAGTAAAATGCTGGAGGTGGGTTTCATGCAGCAAAGGACAGGGGAATTATTCCAGGCATTTGTGGGCCGTTTGCCCAGACCTGCCTGGGCACACAAGTGCACAATTATTTCTTCTGCCCCTGGGTCACCATTCACCTGTCAAACCTCTCCCAGAAACAAGGGCCCAGAGTTTTTTCCTCTTTTGTTTTCTAGCTTTATTAAAGCAAAACAATCCTCTTTGATACTGCCGTGGAGGAAACAGAACTGTGACTTAAGTTTCATATTTGCATAGTTAATTTCACATACTGAAGATAGTGAGTGCTCTTACATCTCCAACACATTTCCCACCTCTGGGGAAAGCTGGGGTTACTCATGCCCTGCCGCTTTGTCTCCCCCTCGCCTGCTCCCACCTCGTTACGCTTAGGATGACAATGAACAGTCATGACGCGGCATTTCAGGAATCTACAATTCGGTTTTTATTTGAAGCCAGCCCACTTGGCCCACCCAGCTGAGGAACACTGGGACAGAGGCTGGTCTGTACCCTCTGCCACCTGTGATGTGGGGCCAGGCAGCCTGCCGACTGGTCAGTTGGAGAAGTGCAACAGCTCCTCGTCCCCTGTGGACACAGAGGGGCTCAGGGTGTAGGTGTGGGGCTCACCCAGGGGTCCACAGGTGGGGCCGGTCAGGGGATGGGGCTGCCTCGCGGGGAAAGAACGGCAGCTTGCGCTGAGTTGGGGCCTGAACTTGTGTTTGCTGAATGACTGGCTCTCTCCAAAGTGCTTTCCACGGAATCATCAGATTTCTGCCTCTTCTGATTTACTTGAGTTGCCATTTTCCCAGTGGGGAGATAAGGCACAGAAATCTTACACAGCTACTGTTCCCTGGACTGCTGTTACTCCACCCGTTACACAGCATCGTCATTATTAGTAATAGCTGCTGTTCCCTGAGTACTAACTGCACTAGGCACTGGGATGTCTGCATGGTAGGTACTTTGTCCCATTTTACAAAAGAGAAATGCGAGGCTCACACTGGCACTTGCCCAGCGGGGCCAGCCCACATGTGGCAGCGCCAGAATTAGAACCCAGGTCTGTCCGGCTCCTCAGCCTGCCCTGCACAGCCTCTGCCTGTGCCTGGCCATGCCTCCCCAGCTGCCCCTTCCCAGCTGCAGTAAGGCCTAGGGCCTGGCCCCATTTTACAGATGGAGAACTGAGACTCGGAAGCAGATGGACTCATCACCTGGTACAGAGTCTTGAACTCAACTTTCCGGACCCCCACCTCCTACCGGGGCCCCCCCACCTGGACCCCAGTAGCCCCCTTGCCCAGCCTGGCACGCACAGGGCGTCCTACCATTCGCAGGGACACCGCAGTACTCCTTGCACTCCTTCTCTGAGTAGAATTTGTTGCCGTTGCCTTGGCAGCCCCCATAGATGAAGTGGATGCACGTCCCTTGGGCAGCATCAAAGGCCCAGAGCTGGATGGAGCCTCTGCAGGGGCCATGGACTATGGGGAGACTGCAGGCCGCTGCGCAGTGGGACGGAGGCACAGCACATTAGTAATCCTGACAATTGGCCAACCGGAGACACCTGGCAAAGGGCCAGAACTAGGGGATCCTGCTCATCTAGAACACCTAGTCCCATTTTCACAGGCTGGGAAACTGCTGGGATCCAGGAGAAATAACTTGCCTGAAGTCATCCATATCCAAATGCACAATGCCTATGACTTCAGGAAACGTGCCCTGGAATTCCACCCCCGGAACATCCTCTCTTAGCTACCTGTTCAGCTGGCAGGGGCTTTGTTGGGAAGACAGAGTGTGGGGTGCAGCAGGCACAGAGGCTAGGGGCCCACACTCACCCACAGTTCGGCAGGTCTGCAGACACTCCTTCTCTGAGACGAAGTTGTTGCCGTTGCCCAGGCAGCCGCCATACTGGAAGGTCTCACAGGCCATGGATGAACCATTATAGAAATACCTCTTGACCATCCCCAGGCAAGGACCTTCTGCATGGCCCAGCTGGCAGGAGTCTGGGGGGTGGAGAGGGGGGCAGGTGTGCAGAACAGCAGCACTTACTGGGTGCTAACTGCATATCTGTTACCAGGCTGGACACTCCACGTGCATCTCATTCAGTTTTCATCACTGCACTAAGAGGAGGGACTGTCAACTCATTTTATAGATGAGGAAATTGACTGTCTGAGAGGTACAGTGACATGCCTGGGGCCATACAGAGCTAAGATGGAAAACCGTGTCTGTTGGACTCCAAAATCAATGCTTAATCCACTGCATAACATGAGCGTTACTGGCAACTCACCAATGCACCATCCCCTGTGTTGTTCTTGTTCACCCAAAGACTATATTAGCAATCGATACATTCACCAGGACCCATGCTGGCCAGCCCAACCTCTTCACTGAGTTTTTGCTCTCATTGCCCCTGCCCCTAGAATGCCCTCTTCCATAAAACCCCACCGGAATACCTGACCCAGCACGAGTTCCCCGTCATCTAGCAGTCCACCTCCTCACCCATCCGTCCTCTGAGCTCCCGTAGTCCTTTAGCTGACCCTCCCATTTAGGTCCTCACTTTCTTCCTTGACTGCCTTCCCTACTGGACCCAAAGTTCCAAAAACACATGAGTGGCTGTCTCCATGACCCAGTGCTCAGCACTGAGTTGGGGTTGGCACAGGGTTCAGTGTTTGTTGAATGAGTTGGAGAGTGAATCATCTGTGGACACTGGCGGCTACACAAAGCACCCTCATGTCCTTCCTCCACTTACTCCCACATAAGCCCTGACGGTCAGCACAGCAGCCTATTATCTCATTGTACAGAGAAGGAAACCAAGGCTTAGGAGGCCACCCAGTGACACAGACAGGGCAAGATGGATTCCCATCAGGAGCTAAGAGTTCCCAAGCTTAGGAACCATGTTTTATGCTCCTCTTTCTCCCCTTGCAACCCTTGGTACAGTGCAGAGTACTCGATTTGCCTTTTCTAGGCTTGGTTCTTGACTCTAGCAGAAAAACAAGAAAGAGATTGCATGGTGCCCAGGGGCAGACAGTATAAGCCAACTATGGACCCTTCCTCTCTGGAGTATGGCAGAAGGAGTGAAAAGGTGAGTGAAGTGATTATTACCTTCTTTTTTGCTGAAATCAGTTACTAGCTGCCCGGTCCCTGATCCTTCCTCTTCCTGGGGCAGCACAGCCCGCCGGGCCCTCTGTAGGGCAGAAAGAAGAAGCTGTTGCAGAGACCTTGCCACTATTACCTACCTGTACCCCTGGGATGTACAAACAAACCATTTGCTTTGGGAATCCAATTGTAGAGAGGAGCAGAGATACTGCACTGGTTCACAGATTGTTTTCCCATCTGAATTCTAGAATGGGCATCACAGAACAGATTTCTGGTCTGAAGTGAAAGTCAGAACAGTGAGGTATAACAATACCCCCATATCCAAATTCCAATCAAAATGCCCAGAGGTATATGTAGTGGAAAAGGATCTATTCCACAGTAGAGATAATAAACTGCAGCTTAGAGGTTATCATACAGGATGGAGTATAGGCATAACTGGTTTGCAGAAAGGGCTGATCAGACCATCATTTGCTGCTTGCAAAGGAAAAGCCATCTAGAGAGTAAGAAGAAGGGTCCCTGAGACTGTGTCTAACACTCCTTGCTGTGTGGGGTGTATTGAAGAGCAGGGCAAGCTGCCAAAGCTGTCAAAGGGTCTCTGGGTGTGGAGTCCACTGAGGCAGGACCACAGGACAATTAAAGAAGGGATGAGCAGGGAAACTGCCAACCACTGAGCAGTCTTGCTGATCACAGGTGAGATCTGGACTCTGAAACAGTAAATCTATAGTAACCTTCAACTTTTCCCATCGCCTTTGAAAGTACACCTGGAAGCTGTGATCTGGGACTCCCACTGCCTGCCAGAATCTGTCTCAAGCTTGTCACACATAGGCCTGCCCTGGTGAGGATGAAGGAAAAGAGAAAAATCATGGAACAAATTTAAATAATGCAGCTTCTCAGAAAAATCTTAAGCTGGATAAATATCTCCAATTAACACAGGATAACAGTAAGAAACAGGAGAAAACTTAAACAGTCAATGAAACTCAAGATGACATTGCATCAATACAACAGGAGCCAACAGCTATGGAAATGAATGACATGAAAGAAGCAGAAAGGTATTGGACATAGAAAAGATTTTGTTGAATTTAACCACACAGTAGAGATAATAAACTGCAGCTTAGAGGTTATTAGAAATAAACTCCCATAATACACATTCTAGGAGAAATGATCAATATAGAAAGAATAGAAGAAAACTTTTAAGTTGCAGAAAGACTTGAGTTGTCTGATTATAAGGCCTCAAAGGGAATAAGGCAAAATTAATGAAGAGCCCCACCTAGACATTTCCTAGAGACAAAGGGTAATGAGCCTAGCGGCCCTTGGAGTAAATAACAGCAGGAAATAGCAGAAGCTGCAGAAATACCTGAGGGTTGTAAGAGGGGAAAGGTTATAACCCAGGGTTTCTTTACCCATCCAAGGGGTTGACCATGTGATACAATCATAGAAAGATATTCTCAGACATGTAAGGATTCAGCAGTTTTCCACCCATGCATCTTTCCAGAAAAAAATTGCTTATAAAAATATTCCCACCAGTTGAGAAAGGAATCTAAATACAAGAAAATGGATGAGGTGATAGGTACCAAAGAAGTGACAGTAAACTATAAAACCAATAAAATATACAGTTGAGGTTAAATTGTTACAATAATCAGAATACAGCTTCATGGAAACATTAAAAGTAATTCTCAAAACAAAAGGTGTAAAACATAAACATCAATCTCAGATTATATCCACAAAAACAGTAATGTGGGAAGCCTGGAAGGGAGAAGCCACCGTGTGCTATATTTCTCTGTTTTGCAAGGTAAATTATTAGTCATCTGCCATGTATTAGTTATTTGTCCTTAGTTGTTACTTCATTTTTGACACTGATAAAGAAATGCAGATTCTATTGAGATCTGGATTAAGGTGGCAGATGGAAATTGCCCTCCAAATTGCTAACAATTAGCAAAAAATGAATTCAGAAATACCAGCCCCCAAATATTCATCAACATCACTCAGCCAAGGAAAGGGGCATAATTTAAAGCAAAAACCAGAACTGTTGATCATGGAAAGAAATCAAATTTTCTGTAGCTGAACACGATGGTCAGCAAGGTTCAGCTCCTAACCCTGCCCTCTAACTCCAGTGCTACCAAGTCATAACATTTCTGATAATTCTCCCTAAGATTCCCAAAATCCTGTGAGCAGAGAATTGAGAGACCCTATCATTTTCCTCTTTTAACAAAGGAGTAATGAATATGACCTTCGGGAAGAAAAGAAGAAAACAGACTTGAGGCTGACTCTAAGTGAAGGTTCTGGGGCCGCACAATCTAATGCCCTAGGGGGTGTTGCCAGGGACAGAGGTACATCACTGCCAACCCACACAGGGTATCTAGTGGTCCTTCAAAAGAGAATGCAAAGCAGGGGCATTCCAAAGTAAGGGCACACCTTAGGAAAAGCTTTTCCACCCCTCCCCTTCACACCATCTCCTTGGACTTCAGAAAACTGGATGGAACACAAATACTCAGACTTTACGCTAAATTTGGGTGGTCGTGGAGTAGGCTCACATTTAGCGGTTAAAGGGCCAAGGAGTAAATGAAACCCCCACCCCACCATATCTGAACAAACAGAAAGTCTAGCTAAAACTCAGCAGGAGCAAGATGAAAAGAAATGGTACAGAAACTATCCAGACACACTTCAGAAATGAAAGAACAGCTAGCCTGAACTAGAGTGAGAGTCCAGCTGTGAAGGCCATTGTCAGGAACAGCCCAGGCTTCCCTCAGGAATGGACTTACCTTCACAGCTGCTGGAGGTGTATTGTCAGCCCCTGTTGGAGACTACCTGAGCAAAAGACAGCCTTCTCGCTCAAGGTCATGTTCCCTTCCCAGAAGGATCAACAGGGGGGCATTAAGGGCTGCCCCTCAGCTCCCTCAAGGGACAACCCCAAAGGGTCCTCCCAGTGCCAGAGCTCCCTCTGCCCAGTCCTGCCTTTGTCCCCTTCCCTTCCACAGGTGTTGATCTAGGGAACTCCACCTGCAACACCCACTTAGAAGAAAATACAACTCAAAAGCAGAAGGAAATTTCTCGATGGCCTCAAGCTATAGCATTACTTTAAAAAACGTGCATTTATTAAAAATGAAATGGTAAACAACAGAATAAGATGAAAAGAGAGAATCCAAGCCTAGATAAACAAATTGAGAACCAAAATCAGTTTAGAGCTAGTGAATAATTAGGAGTAGTAAGGAAGAGAAGAGATGCTGCTAAACGCAATGACTGGCACAGAAGAAAGATTGGTGGGAATCCTAGTGAATAAAGATGAAAGCAATTTGAGGGAACCTAGTACCTGCGGGAGACAAAGATGGTCCAGGAGGAGAACACCGTGTCCCAGAGGCAGCAAAACCCAACAAGGAATGGAAGACGAATTCCATATTGTGCAAGAGAGTTCCCTGAAGTACAGACAAAACAAAATCTGCAGATGAAAGAGCACCTAGTATTCCAGGGAATTTTGACATGGAATTCTTACAACACCAAGACACGTCCTTGTCAAGACGCTGACTTCAAGGATAGTCTGGCCAGGCATCTAGGCAGAAGAAAAAATTGCTCACAAGAAGAATTATCCGGCTGGCCTCACGCTTCCCACAGTGAGAACCAGTGCTGGACAGCAACGGAGCAATGCACACAATGCTCTGAGCAAAAAAAAATGACCAGAACCAAGAATATGACACCAAGCAAAATGTCATTCCAGTAGGAAGGAAATGGGCAGACATTCTTTAACAGGGAGGAATTCAGGGATTAAACCACCCATGAACCCTCCTCAAAAACACCGCTTGCTGAAGAAATGGCACTGAGAGAGAGAGAGAGAGAGAGAGAAACAAATAACTCAGAAATGAAGAGCTGAGGCATATTCACTAAGGGTGAGTGTGGAGTGCATGAAAATATAGTGACTGGAAATTATGGCGACGGAGCAGAATTGGAATGGCAGCAATCTGGACCATGGAAAAGGAAAGGGGTGAGGAGACAGAACAAAGTTGGAGAGTCAAATCAGAGAGAGAACAGATAGTCTCTAAACGCATACAGAGCAATGCCGGCCTCTTAAATGCTTTTTCATAACCTTGACTTGACCAAGAGCATTATTAAGAAAGAAATCTCTTGTGGTAAAGAAATATTTATTTGAAGTTCAAGAAGACCACTTGTTTTCAAATTCAAATAAAACTACAATTAATGCTTTTAAAAACTAGAAGTAGCATCTGTAATATAATCCCATTTAGTAGCAGTCTAAATCTGTGGCTCCATTTATCCAACCTTCCTTCCATCTGTCCTTCTCTCCACACGTATGCACGTCCAGATGCCTGGAATAGCATGAATGGTAGTTTTGGGGTGGTGGAATTTTTTTGACTTGAATTTTTTATACTTTCATGCATTACTTTAATTCTTATAATGAGCATCTGTTCTATAAAATCAATTGTAATTTTTCTTAGAAAATATAGAAGCAGACAGTATGTTAGTCTTTATTCTATGGAAGGATAAGGACATTGTTGTCTTTTTTGCCTTGTACGTTTTTCAATTTTCATTTTTCATAAAAATATACAGTAGACTATATTAGGATACATAATATTCAAATAATCAGAGAAAAAAAATGAAGAAAGCTTAATCAATATGGCAGATGGCAGGAAAATAAATAAAATAAGGAGGCCCAATCAAAACGCAGCACAGAGAGGAGTCGGTTTGCAAAGCTGCTCGCTCCCGTGTTTGTTGTTTCAAGGAGATGAACTGACTTCATTTTCATTTATTGAGTAATGAGTATCATTATTCCATTACTGAGTATTTTGCTGCTTTTAGGTACTATGCTAAGACCATTTCTGTCATGTCTTTGCATTTCAGCACCTGGGAGCTAAGTGTAATTACTCCATTTCACAGATAAGGAAAGAGAGGTCCAGGTGGGGCAGCAACTAGCCCAGATGGCGGAATAGCCGAGACTGAGCCCAGGTAAGTCTGACTTCAAAATCCATGCCCATCTCTGCCTCCTCTCAACCCCTGTCAATGACCCCACCCACCATCACAGCAGGACCTAAGCCAGGGCAGCAAAAATCAAGTGGGGCAGGGTGGGTGGGGTGGGCAAAAGAGGTACTCACCAAGGGGGGAGGGGGTGCTGGTTCCTGCTCCCCAGGGACACACTCACCTAGGTCAGAGGACAGGAGAAATAGGGGAAGAAGAGGGCCCTATTGGGGGTCATCCTGGACCCCAAGAGGGCTTCATTTCTCTCATAGTGCTAATGAGTATGTGCCAGGTGGACACCGTGCTGAGAATAGTGCATCCACCCACTTCGCCCACGGCTCCACCCATATGGCTTCATAAAGGTCATTAACTGGAAAAGCGGCAGACTGGTGGCTGCACTGTCACCATCATCGCCACTGCATGGCCCCCACCCAACCACCAGCATTTCATCAGCACCATCAGAGCACAACAGCTACCATCTACTGAGCACTTACTGGACACCAGGCACAGTGCTGTTGTATTTAATGGCTTTATCTCATTGCTCCTCACAGCAGCTTACAAGGAGGCATTCTTATCCCTACTTTACAGGTGAGGAAAATGAGGCTCTGCAAGGTTGGCCAGCCAGAAGCCACACAGCTCAATGTGAATCTAGGTGCTCCAACCCCGGAGCCCATGCTCCTCACCCCAACACTACTGCCTCCTCAGAGTGCCCACGGACTCTAAATACATCCTCACTGAGACAGGTGGCAGTAGAGTGAACACCAAATCGGTGGCTGTCTCAGCTCTGCCAGGTTCATGATGTGGGATTTGGAGCGATCCCAGGGGCCCCAGATGCCTTCTCTGTAAAGAGGGGAGGGCAAATACCACCCTGCTTATCCCAGAGGGTTACAGGAAAGACTCAGGGGATGGGAAGGTATTCCCTGGGACCCTGGAGGATGAGAAGGGGACAGAAAGGTGAGGTGGACTGGAGGCGCCACTTACCTCTGTCGGCCATTGTGAAGATGGAGTCCGCCGGGATGCCCACCCCCAGGGCCACCTCCCGGAACTCCTCCAGCAGGCTTTCCCGGAGCTGTGGCTCCCGCCCTGCAAGTGAGAAGCAGAGGAGATGCCTAGGACTATGGGTGCCTGAGCTGGCATTGTCTGAGGTTATTCTGCCCAGTGGTTTTCGTTTAGGATAAGTTTGAAAACGATCAGCCACTTTGATTTCTTCAGTGCACGTATGGGAAGATGAGCCCCAGGAGAGGAAGAGGTGTCCCTTGCAGGCGCCCAGCTGGGTCTCCCAACTCCCCACACAGGGCTCTTCCCACTGGTTCTTTTAAGGGCTTGGGAGCTCTGGAATAATCTGGGTGTGGAATGTTAGAGACCAAAAGAAGAGGATTCTACCTCAAATGGGAGACTGAGTTCTACCTCTTTCAGAAAGAGGAACTGTTTCCACCTTTTCCATAACTAGAGTTTTGTCAGAAGGAAAAAGCACACTCCCTGCTTTTATCCACTCTGCTGTCCCTAAATCATGGGTCTCCTCCCACCCCCAAATCCAATGAGCTTATCTGGTTCCAGGCCTTTACCATAGAGCTTGGCAGTAATGGTGGGTCCATGACGGCGGCTGAATTTCTTGGTCAGCAAAATGGCATACTCATCATAGTTTGTGTGGACCACATAGGACTCCATGCTGACGTTCCATTCTGTAAGGGAGATGCAGGCAGAGAAACGAAGCAGCGGTCAGACACACTCCAAGCCTGGGATCCTTCACCTATTCATCCACACGTCATCTATTCATCCATCCTTCTGTCCACTCATCCCTTTCATATATTTATTCATCCATCTTTAATCTATCTCTCTACCCATCTGTCCCTCTGTCTCTATATATTTATCATTAATTCATCCACCATCATTCCATCCATCCATCCTCTCTATATATCAATCCACAAATTCATCCATTTTCCTTCCTCCCCTCCTTCTTTACTTTCATCCTTCGTTCCACCATCCACTAATCAATCAATTTATCTAGTAGATGACTGATGAACTAATGTGCCATCCATACCTGCATTCATTTACCAATCATTATTTATTCCCTCATTTATTTATCCAGCCATCCATCTGCCTACCCAAACATTTATATATTCAGCCCCTAACACAATTCTTTGACACATAAAGCATATTCAATAAGCATTTATTGGAGTAATGTAAAAATTACTATCACATAGCACCATGCACACTACACATGGTAGATGCTTAGCAAGTTTTATCAGCTGGCTGCAGATGCCTGACTTGGGGACTGATGAAATCTTGATGTCATCTCAGCACTCCGCACCATCGCTCTAATTCAGGCTGCACACGCGCATGAGGGCATGAGGGGCAGGGGGAGGGAAGCAGGGAGAGGAAGGAGGGGCTGGAGGAAGAGGAGGAATTTGGAGGAAGGCTAGATGACGTCTCAGAAAAATGAGAGGAAAGATTATAGGGGCAGAGAACCCTGAGGCAGGAGGAAAGAGACCTCAAGACATCAAGTCTTTCTTAGCAAAGGAAGAACTTGGGTGTTTCCTTACTAGATTTGTGATAGAGGAACTTCCCATCCGTGCCTGTTTTCTCATAGGCCCCAGAGATCTCCTCACAGACGCCTTTCCTGGAAATGAACGAACCAAAAGAAAGGTCACTCCTGCACGAGACCACAGTCCCGACACCCCACTCTTGCACACGGTCCCTTCCAAACGTGCTTTCTTTTTCTTTTTGGAACTTGGAAAGTAACATTTCCAAATATCCTGTTTAATCCTTGAACCAGCCTTGGGAGAGACCCATCTCACACATAAGGGGAGAGAGGGACCAGGAAAAAAGAAACCATCCTCTTGGCAGAGGGAGCACTCAGATATCAGCTTCCTTAAGTACATCTGCACAGCACGTTAATGCACCGGGAGTCAGAGTGATGCAGGAATGCGTGAACTCAGTTTCTACTCTGCATCTCTTTGGCCCCAGTTTCCTCATCCATGAAATGGGGATAATGATAGCTTCTACCTCATTTGATGGTTGTGTGGATCAAAGAAGATATTATATGTCAAGAGCTTAGAGTAAGTACTAAGTACATACTAGCTATTATTGTTACAGTGACTACAATGTATCTTAACACTTACCGAGCAGCATCTATGTGCCAGCACTATGCTGCATGCTGAGGACACAGAAGGGCGTAAGACAGACCTTGTCCCCATGTGCAGCTTACAACTGAGTGGGGTGGGTGGGCAGGCCAGAGGCAGATGCAGTCAGTGTGATAAGTGCCATGTTGGGGGTGAGGGGAGCATGAATTGCTCCAAAAGCACAAAGGAAGGCATGTAACCTGAATCTGGAGGGATCAGGGAGGGGCTTCCTGGAGCAAGTGACATAGCTCCTAAATCCTGAAGGATCTATAGGAATTTGCCCAGGGAGGTGGGAAGAGGTTTCCCCAGTAGAAAGAACGTCAGGCACAAAGCCCTGGAGGTGCAGGAGGGTGGAGGGCTCCAGGAACTGAGAGAAGGTACACTTGGGAGGGTCACAAAGCACAAAGGTGTGACTGGGGCCACATCCAAGGGGTTGCGTTTTATTCTCAAGGGCAATAGGGAGTTTTTGGAAAGGTTTAAGCATATTTGGTTTTCAAAAGTTTCTCTGGTTGCTGGATGAACAACAGATTAGTTGGAAGATTCAAAATCCGAGGTGGGGAGAAATGTAGAGAGGCTGTTGTAGACAACCAGGAAGGGAAGGAAGGTGGCTTGGACCAGCTTGGTGAGAAGAGAAGAGAAGTAGAGGGATTGGAGGGACGTAGGAAGAGGACGGACAGGCCGGGTGACGGACTGAAGGAACTGTGGCAGCAGAGAGAAGAGTCTAGGCATCCACCTCCCACCCAGGTTTGCGGGTTGGGGGTGGGAGGTCGAAGTGCCCCTCCTGAGCTCCGGGATGCTAAGGAGCAAGAGAAGTTTGGAAAACAGGAATAGAGTTGAGGGCGTTGCCCTTGAGGTGTAGATGAGACCATTAAAAACAGTTGCTCTCAGGGAGGATAGCAGAGAGATCTGGAGTTCAGAGGTGGGTCCTGGCTGGAAGGTCTGTAAGGGGTGGTGGGTGGCTGGGTGGCTGGGCCCAGCCCCCAGCCCCTCTGGCCCCTCCCAGCCGTCCCCACGCTCACCGCCAGTGAGTGCCGGTCATGCTGATCTCCTGCTCCGTCACTCCCTCTCCCAGCACCAGTGTGCTTATGGTCAGCCTGTCCTTGAGCCTCTTCAGCCACGGGCAGGTAGAGCCCATGGCCACGTGGAACCATTTCCCGTAGAACTAGGAAGCAGCCACAAGCTCTTAAGGACCTAGAATTGCCTCAGAACTTGAAGACTTTCCAGACATCCGCTCCTCTCCCTCCTCCCGAAGACAATGATAAGTGATCATGTCTGATAGCTAATTGTTGGCCACGCACAGGGAGGACGGAGCCTTACGGTGGAGCTTCAGGCATCATGGCAAGCTTAGGAAGACGTGTAGATCAGGGGCACACCCCAGCCAGCAGCACGCCTCACTCTGCTGAAATATGGGATCTGTGCCGTTCATTTGGATGAGGTCCAATCCCCCTGCTCTGAGGTCATCAGCAGCCACTGCTCCCCAGGAGCAGGAGCCCAGCCTTACTCCTCCGGGCCGAAGTGCTCCCCAACCCACAAGCAGCCCATAGCTCGGTGTTAGACAGTATCTCCTTTCCTCCACCTGAAGCAGGGTAAGCCTGCTGTCTCCTCCAGACTGCACTGCAGGTCGGGATGAAGAGCCCTCTCATCCCCACAGACCAAGCCCACGAGTCCCCGCACCACCCCATCCCCACCCCTCCACCTCCACCCTTCCTTGCCCCTGATTGTAAACAAGATCCACAGGACACCACAGCTCAGGGGATCCAAGAAACCCTCCTACCAAAGAGGAGACTGAGCCCTAGGTGGGCAAGGTCCTGTTCCAGGTCACCCAGTGATTTGGGGCAGACCTAGGCTGGAAGACAGTCTTAGGACTCCCACACACAGTGCCCTGCCCAGGCCTCCTTATCCTACCGGCCTGAACCTCTGTCCTGCTTCTCTTCTCCCTGGAATCCCACATGTCCACCCTGCACCACCCCAGCTCTCTGTCCACAGCCACAGAGAAGCTGTGGGGAGAGGTGAGGGATGAAGGGTGAAGGGCTGGGTGGGGAGGCAGGAAGTCACAAAAAGGTAGGTGCTGCCAGGAGGCTGCAGCCATAGTCGTCAGCACGAAGCCTCCTCCAGGGTGGGTTCCAAGCAAAGCATGGATTCTCCTTGGAACCCGAGAAGACAGATTCAAAGGTGAGGACATCTGCCTCTGAGGATATCAAGCAAAGGCCCACAGAATGGCACATGCAGGGAGTTGCAGCTCCAGTGAATCCCAGACAGCAAGAAAGGTCCTCACAGACCCAGTCCTGGAGTTCCAGAGGGGGCACTGAGAACCCAGGTGGGCAGGACTTAGCCCCAGCAAGGCCCAGCTGCTCAGACACCCTGCCACGACCACCAGAGAGGCCAGCCTTACCCTCAAGAGGTTGAAGTTCTCCTGTGCTTGGATGTTGTCTGGTGGTGTCGGCACAGGGCTGGCATTCACCGCCAGGCTGGCAACCAGCAGCAGAAGCAGGGCCCTGAGACTCCACATGGCTCGGAGCTCCTCTGCCTCCAGTGTCACTCAAGGGCTTGGTCTAGAGACAGAGGGCCCACCCGCTCCCTGCACACAGCGACTATCAGCCAAAGCTGGGCAGAGGGCCCATGGCTCACAGGTGACCTTGTCGTTTGCCCTGCTCAGCTGGGATCAATCAGAGCCCAAAGGCCAGGCCTGATCGATCCCTTGTAGTGCCCTGGCTGGGGTCAGTGGTCCCCAAGGGGCCAGGGCACTGGCCACACACAACCTGGCCCAGATGCAGCCCACAGCAGGGCTCAGCCCCCCGGAAGGCTTCCCCAGAGACTCCCCGTCTGTCACAGGGGGGCATGCAAGGGTGGGGGTGACCGGCAGCTCCTGGCCTTCTCATTCCACCCAGACCTCACACTACTGTGAGCCAGCTGGACAAGCTTGACTGGGCCCATGTCTCACATGAAAAACTGAGGCCCAGGGAGAGGAAGTGACTTACCAGAGACCACAGGGGTGTCTATGGCAGAGCCAAGACTAGAAATCAGGAGTCCAGTCCCCAGAGTCCCTTCTCTGACCCCCAGCTTCCCATAGCCCTAGCAAATAATGGCAGAAACCACAGTGATGATGGTTCTAATAGTAGCTTCCATTCACTGAGCACCTGTTATGTGCCAGCTTTGTACCAGCACTTAATACATGCCATGGAATTGAGTTCAATCCCCACAACCACCCTATAAAGTAGATGCTATTTTTCCCCTTTACAGGCAGGGGATTTGAGTCTCCAAAAAGGAAAATGACTGATCCAGGATCTCCCATCTGGGAAGTAAAGTTGTTGGAAGAGGCAGTATTTGTGGTGCTTGAGAGCATGGACTCAGGAGCCAGACTGCTTTCTGTGCTGTGTGACCTTGGGCAAGTGACTTAACCTCTCAGTGCCTCAGTCTCCTTATCTGAAAATGGCAATAGTTTCTGGTTCATAGCATTGTTGTGAGTTAAGGGAATTAAAGCACCAGGACCGTATCCAGCACACAGTAAGAGCCGAATGTGTTTGTATTGGGTTGAATAGTGTCCCCCAAAAATCCATGTGTACCCAAAAACTCAGAATGTGACCTAATTTGTGACCCTACTGACAACTTGGTTTCAGACTTCTAACCCCCAGAAACATGGAAGAATAAATTTCTGTTGTTTTAGGCCACCCAGTCTGTGGTACTTTGTTAATGGAAGCCTTTGGAAACTATACAGTATTCATGAAATTAAACAATTTAAATGAGACTCTTTTTTTTTTAAGACCCAGATCTGTTTATCTCCAAAGCTCAAACTCTAGCCAGCAATACTGCCGGCCCCATGAAGATGGCTTCTCCAGTGGTCAGAGCTGCTGTCCTTCCTCCCTCCCTGCTCTTGGCAAGGAACATTCCGTACCTACAGGAGGCTCCCAGCTACTTACAGCTGGGAATGATCCTTGCTCAGGTGAGAACCCGGGCGTCCCTGCCACATAGTCAGTGGCACCCTCTGATAGAGCTGAAGTATTGCGAATGAGTGTGTGTCTGGTCGTAAGAGAGTGTGTTTCCTTTGCTCCATCACTGACAGCTTGGATGCCAATGGCATTTCGTCTTGCTTCAGCTGCCAAGAAGCTCAAAACTATGTTACATGTTTAATCGCAGCAACCCTCTTGGCTTATATTTCTGGGACAATTATCTTCCCTATGGTTCAAGAATTTCTCCATCATTTATGTTTGCAAGTGGTAGGGAGGCAGTCTGAATTAAGAGGAATGCAGAAAACTGGGAGCCAGAAGCCCTGACTTCTTGTTCTGCATAATTTGGAGATGACTTTCTCTTTCTGAAGCCCACTTTCATCATCTGTAAACAGAAGCTAACAGTCTCTGATCTGTCTGCCAAGAGATCAATGATGTGAGGCAATGCGTGGAAAGCGCTCCATGAACTGTCCACTGCCTTACCTGTCTTTGGAGAAACCGGGATGGTATAAGAATGAAAAGATAACAATGAGTCATTAATAGGAAATAGAGCCCTCCTATTAAGGTTGCCTACAGTGTACCACAATGGCTTCTCCGATCTTCAGAGCAGGTCTGTGTTATTAGAGTTGTCAGCCCCACTGGCCTCATGGGAAGCCTGGGGCACATGGGCTGAAGAAGGATTCTGGTCTGTTTTGGATGGGGTTGTTCATTCAGCCACACAGCCTCTCCTGGGGGAGGGGAGAGGCCCAGAGGACAGGCGAGGATGTTGATCTCTCCAGCCCCCAGGGGTGTCTGCTTCCCTGAGATTATTAACCAGAGCAAACAGAGAAAGCAAATTCTGCCAAAGGCCACCTGGACTTTGAGCTGCTTTTTAAAAATTAACCCTGGGCCACAAGAAGGCAAGTTCATCAGTGGTCTGGGAGTACTGACCCCGCTTCCCCCTCTGGCCCCTGGGGTGGGAGGATGAAGGTTCTGAGGCCCCTGCCCTCCTAGGGGATGAGAGGTCCAAGATCCACAGGAACTGGCCAGGCTCTGGAGCCATTTCAAAGGGAAGGGGAGGGCTTGCCCCATGCAGGAGGCCTCAGAACCTCAAGGGTGCCAAGGGCAGTAGCAGTAGGAATAGAGGCCTGATTTGGTGCTCAGGGAGGGAATGGGACTTGATCAAGGTCATCCAGCTGTGGCTAAGCCGGGAGCTAGATTGGCATGACTCCAGCACCATGGCTTTGCCCCATAATTTTTTCATTGATCTGCTCTTTCATTCACCAAAGATGCACTCCATGCTTGGTGCTGGAGACAGGATGGGGAACATGACAGGCCTCTCAGAGCTCACTGGGTCGGGGGAGGTGGGGAGTGAGAAGATGAGATGGATAGTCACTTCCCTGCCAGAAGAAGCAGAGGTGGGGGTGGATGAGGCATTAGCCAGACAAAGGTGGATGGGGGTGCACGGGACAGGGGAGAAGAAGCCATTCTAGACAGGGGATACCAAAGTGTTAGAGGAGGAAGGTGGAGAGAGAGAGAGAGAGAGAGATGCATTTGGAATGCAGAAACAAACAAAACCATGAGCCTGGAACATGGGGGACAGAGGGAAGCGGCAGAGTGAGCCTGGGAGGGGCTAAGGCCCAGCAGGCAGACCTGTACTCCAGGGGTTTGCTTGCTAGCCTGCGTATACAGGAGTTGTGGCAGGTTTTCAGAAGTGAATGGCAGATCAGATTTGTAACTGGGAGAAATGAATGAGGAGGCAGTGGAAGTGGAGGCCCAGGAACTCTCCAACTCCAAGGATATTTTCCAGGAGAAAGGAAGGGCCCAGAGCTTTGGGGCCTGGCTACCTGACCAGCAGGGACAACAAGGACACTGAGCAGGACTCAGATCAAAGGTTGTGGTCAAGGTTCAGACCTTCCTCTGCAAATGGTCGAAGGGTATAGCAGGTGACCTTCCTTCCCCACAAGGAGGAATCAGCTGCAGGGCCAGCCCCAAATGCCTGACTGTGCCTAGTTCCCTTGGACTCAGAGTCCCAGCCTGTCGGTTCATGGCAAAGCTTGTGGTGGGCAATACCCAGGATTCCATGACCAGCAACAGAGGAGGGGGTGAGGGGAAGTTCTCACTCTCCAGTTATTCCTAGGCTTTGTTGCTTGTTCCCCACCCCTGTCTCAAAGAGGAGGCCCCCGACAATCTTGAGTCCCAGTCCTTGTGACTTGCCGGATGACCATGGGGCAGACCTTCCCCTCTCTGGCCTTACCTTCCTCACCTAGACCTCCAAATGAGGGTACAGGAACTCGTCTGACAGGGCTGAAATGCGAACCAAATGAGGCACCTTTGTTAAAGCCTCCCCAGCGTACACCCTGGAGGCCCAACGTCATCCTAGGCCCTTAGCACAGAGCGCATGGTACCCCATGAGGACTCCACACAGGGCAGGAATTACACGGTAAGAAGGCCTGAGTGACCCATGTCCACTAGAGGGCAGCAGAGACCTTCTAGAAAGAACACCTGGGCTTCGCTCGAGAACAGGAGCCACAGACCTGCAGCAAAGGCCCGCAGAACTGGTAGATCCAGGGCCAGAATCTAACCTTCCTTGCCCCAAGTCTGCTTGAAATCCCCTGGTGAATGTAAAACATCCAGCTTCTACCTTGCCTATCCCCCCACCCCAGACACAGAGCTGGATGCTCAGGTGGGGCCTTTAAAACCAGTTCCCTGGGAGAATCTCCTGGTGAGCCATGATTGGGTAGGGCTGCTACAGACCACAAAGGTTGCTGTAATCTAAATAATGACTTGATTAACTTCCGGCTATGCGCCAGGCACCATGCTGAGCTCTCTGCAAGCACTTCTTACTTGAATCCTCCCATTGAGGTTCCATCATTTTACTACAATGGTGACCCTATTTTGCAGACAGGAGAACAGGCTGAGAGATCAAGTGATCCAGCATCGAAGATCACCAAACAGTGAGTAGCGGTTCAAACCCAGATCCATCTCCCCAACGTCCAAGTCACTCTGCTGACCTCCCAAAGCCTGACCCCAGTAACCAACAGGAACCCGAGTCATGTTCTTTCAGACAGCTGGAGCAGAGAGGTGGGGGGACCCCTTCCACTGGACTCCTTACTGCAGGAGTTAGGCTTACACGCGCCTGGACCTCCCTTCCCTGACCAAGAGCACACTCAGTGTCTGACGCTGACATTTCTCTTACTCCTCAGGGCCTACCTAGCACTGTGCTGGGCACTTAGCAGGTGCTCACTGAACACATGCTGATTGATTTACTTAGGCCTTTGAGGGGGAATGTAAGTCAGACCCCCAGAAGGGCCACCCAAGTGGACAACAGCTGGGGGATGCTGGGAGATTGGAATCACTGGGCTCTAAGCCCTTGAATAATGATTAATGAATGAGTGAGTGGGCAATTCAGATGCACAATTTAAAAAGCAAAGAGCCCGTACTCCATGGGTGGCTTTTCTTTGTGTCACAGATTTTGAATTAGTCTGCATATTATGGCTGGAAGGATTCCAAGGCTTCATCCTGCAGAATGAAGGTCAAGCAGGTGTACTTTGTACCCAGGCAGACCTGGGCAAAGCCATGACTGGAACCCTTCCTGCCTGTTTGATCTTAACTAAGTGACTTCACCTTTCTGAATCAGTCTTTTCCTCTGTTAAATGGGGTTAATAAAAGCTCACAGGGGTGGAGGACTTAAACATGAGAAACATGTCATGTTCTTGCTCCTTGGAGAAAGCTTAGCAAATAATCAATGGTAGCCCTGGGTGGAGGGTGCCTTTAGATGTTGTCAACTTAGCTTCATGATTGAGGGAGTAGGTGGCTTAGTCTGGAGAATCAGCTCAGAAAGTTAGCCACTTTGTGGATCTGAGTGTCCTTGAGATTCAGCCACCCTGGAGACAAAGCTCATGGGCCAGGGTCTGGTTCCCTTTGAACTCCTGAAGAAAGGGCTCCCAAAAGCCTGTGTCCAGGAAAGGAAACAGGCATTTTCTTGCTCTTTGCGGACTGGTCTTATCTGTACATGAAAGCAGGCCCTCCAGGGACCTGTCCTTACTCCCTGACTGAGTTGACATCACCAGTGTCCTCAGAGGGACTAAAATAATTCTTTTCTGAAACCATGGGGCAATCTGGACTCTTTGGAAAGTCCCACTGGCCTTTCTTCAATGACAACAAATGACTCTCAATTAGCTGCCCTGGAAGGGCAGTGGGAACTTCCCTGGCCTTTCAGTTGGGTGACAGAGTCCTGAATGGCCACTTTCTCCCTGAAAGAATCCACGTTAGGAGAGTTAGGAAGGAGCAGGCAGGGCTGGATGTCAGCACGTTCATGGGTGTGTAATAACCAGAGAGCAGATATGATGCAATTCCTCTCCTGCAAGTACAGGAATGGTAGAAAGTTTGTACCAAGAGCATCCATGAGTAATAATGGTAATAACGACTAGCATTTATATAGCACTGTCCATGTGGCAGGCTCCATCCTAAACAATTTATACAGATTCTTTCAATCCTCACATCATCGCCTTAGAGCACTTACTAACGTCTCATAGGGTAAACCAGTCTTATCCCCACTTTACAGAGGAGGAGACCACAGTTCAGGGATGCTAACTACCTTGCCAGACTCTCACAGCAGTAAGTTGGGCAGACTGAGGCTGAGAGAGGGAGTAGGTTTGTCCAAGGTTTCACAGACTGGAGACCATCCAGGTCATCACTCTGTCCCTGACCACCACACAAAGGCTGGACTTTAAGGGCCCAGTTACAATTCTCTTTGTCTTTGTTCAGAGATTCTGCGTCACTGGGTAACTTGTAAAGAATTCCTTTTTCTTTGAGGGTGGTGAAAATTCCTTCGTGGGGGGGAAAAGAGCTTGTGATGTCCCTTACTCTGACTCACCAAAGACCTCTGCATGGTCTGGTCTTGCTGGGTTGTGCTGGGTTTTGATGGACACCAATTTCTCTGGGGAGGCTGCTCTACCGTGCTCAGTGGTTCCTGGCTAGATGGAAACTGCTCCTCCGTTTGCCCTTCGTCTGTGGTTCCACTGAGTGGCACTTGGCATGGTGATTGTGATCACCTATGCAACAGCCAGAGCCCCCGGCACAAATCCCACTTCTGCCACCTACTAGCTGTGTGACCTTAAGCAAGTTCCTGAACTTCTTGCTATGGTTCCCCACTGCAAAATGAGGACAATAATAGTACCTACTTCACAAAGCTGTTGTGAGAAATGAGTGAGTTAATACATGGCAAGTGCTGGGAACAATGCTTGGCACCAGATAAATCTACTAATTTCCATTGCATAGCAATTGTCATTTTGATTATCCTTTTCCCCCACTTGACTGAAAACTTGGGCAGTGGCTCAAGGTCAGGCCAATGTCCCCATACCCAGTAGCGCATGCTGGGCCTTCAAGTAGGGGCTTAATAAATGTGTGATGAGTGGGGGATAGAATGGTCAGAGACATGAGCTAAATGAAGGTTTTTAAGGAAGACACCTCTGGCCAGCTTCCAAAGGTCTTCCTTGGGAGCCGGCCAGTGTAGATGTCAGTGATGGCCAGGGGCCGTATCTGGGTCACACAGTAAGTCTTTGCAGAGCAGGCTTAGAACCAGGTCTCCTGACTCCAGTCCTGGTCTCCATCACAGCACCAACCTGTATACAAGTTCCAGTAGCTGCTGCTCCTTGTTTCATAACAAGACCACCCTGACCTGCCCACCCCTGCTCCCACCATATTTATTTGCTTAAAATAAAGGAAGACAAGTCTCTGGGGAGCTCAACAAGGCAAAAGAAATGGAAAAAGCCATTTAAGAGGACAGAGACATATCCTTCAGAAACCAACCTTTTGTGTACAAAATTGAATAAATATTAATTTGGGGCAATGCGTATTAGACAAAGAGAAGAAAGACCAGGTGAGAGAAAGCAGGGCCCACCTGGGATGTGAGAGAGGGCAGGTGTGGCTGGGGCAGATAGGCAGTGGCAGGATGTTCTTGGCAGGAGGGGCTTCACAAACTTGCCTGTTGTCTCTGCCTCTTGGGGGTCTAACTGGGGGTTGGTCACCCAGATGAGACCTCATAGCCTTTTAAACACAGTTGTCCACAGGAGTGGTTTTCCCAAAGCTACTGTTGTTCTACAGTAATGCTTCCAGCCATGATCCCCATTCGACACTGGCTGTGAGTTAGGGTTTCCAAGGATCTGGAGAACCCAACCAAGGTTCCGGACATCGAAGTTGATCTCTCGATCTGCCAGAATTCTACAAACTCAGGGATGGCCTTCCAAGCTCTGGTAAACGTTCCTACCCCTAGCCAAAGATTCCAGAGAATCCCGCCCAACTTCATCAAAATGTTTTAAAATTTTAAGATCTTTCACAGATTTGGAACTCCAGGAAATCCCTACTGTGCTTATGGAGAATCAGCTCAGAAAGTTAGCCACTTTGTGGATCTGAGTGTCCTTGAGATTCAGCCACCCTGGAGACAAAGCTCATGGGCCAGGGTCTGGTTCCCTTTGAACTCCTGAAGAAAGGGCTCCCAAAAGCCTGTGTCCAGGAAAGGAAACAGGCATTTTCTTGCTCTTTGCGGACTGGTCTTATCTGTACATGAAAGCAGGCCCTCCAGGGACCTGTCCTTACTCCCTGACTGAGTTGACATCACCAGTGTCCTCAGAGGGACTAAAATAATTCTTTTCTGAAACCATGGGGCAATCTGGACTCTTTGGAAAGTCCCACTGGCCTTTCTTCAATGACAACAAATGACTCTCAATTAGCTGCCCTGGAAGGGCAGTGGGAACTTCCCTGGCCTTTCAGTTGGGTGACAGAGTCCTGAATGGCCACTTTCTCCCTGAAAGAATCCACGTTAGGAGAGTTAGGAAGGAGCAGGCAGGGTTGGATGTCAGCACGTTCATGGGTGTGTAATAACCAGAGAGCAGATATGATGCAATTCCTCTCCTGCAAGTACAGGAATGGTAGAAAGTTTGTACCAAGAGCATCCATGAGTAATAATGGTAATAACGACTAGCATTTATATAGCACTGTCCATGTGGCAGGCTCCATCCTAAACAATTTATACAGATTCTTTCAATCCTCACATCATCGCCTTAGAGCACTTACTAACGTCTCATAGGGTAAACCAGTCTTATCCCCACTTTACAGAGGAGGAGACCACAGTTCAGGGATGCTAACTACCTTGCCAGACTCTCACAGCAGTAAGTTGGGCAGACTGAGGCTGAGAGAGGGAGTAGGTTTGTCCAAGGTTTCACAGACTGGAGACCATCCAGGTCATCACTCTGTCCCTGACCACCACACAAAGGCTGGACTTTAAGGGCCCAGTTACAATTCTCTTTGTCTTTGTTCAGAGATTCTGCGTCACTGGGTAACTTGTAAAGAATTCCTTTTTCTTTGAGGGTGGTGAAAATTCCTTCATGGGGGGGAAAAGAGCTTGTGATGTCCCTTACTCTGACTCACCAAAGACCTCTGCATGGTCTGGTCTTGCTGGGTTGTGCTGGGTTTTGATGGACACCAATTTCTCTGGGGAGGCTGCTCTACCGTGCTCAGTGGTTCCTGGCTAGATGGAAACTGCTCCTCCGTTTGCCCTTCGTCTGTGGTTCCACTGAGTGGCACTTGGCATGGTGATTGTGATCACCTATGCAACAGCCAGAGCCCCCGGCACAAATCCCACTTCTGCCACCTACTAGCTGTGTGACCTTAAGCAAGTTCCTGAACTTCTTGCTATGGTTCCCCACTGCAAAATGAGGACAATAATAGTACCTACTTCACAAAGCTGTTGTGAGAAATGAGTGAGTTAATACATGGCAAGTGCTGGGAACAATGCTTGGCACCAGATAAATCTACTAATTTCCATTGCATAGCAATTGTCATTTTGATTATCCTTTTCCCCCACTTGACTGAAAACTTGGGCAGTGGCTCAAGGTCAGGCCAATGTCCCCATACCCAGTAGCGCATGCTGGGCCTTCAAGTAGGGGCTTAATAAATGTGTGATGAGTGGGGGATAGAATGGTCAGAGACATGAGCTAAATGAAGGTTTTTAAGGAAGACACCTCTGGCCAGCTTCCAAAGGTCTTCCTTGGGAGCCGGCCAGTGTAGATGTCAGTGATGGCCAGGGGCCGTATCTGGGTCACACAGTAAGTCTTTGCAGAGCAGGCTTAGAACCAGGTCTCCTGACTCCAGTCCTGGTCTCCATCACAGCACCAACCTGTATACAAGTTCCAGTAGCTGCTGCTCCTTGTTTCATAACAAGACCACCCTGACCTGCCCACCCCTGCTCCCACCATATTTATTTGCTTAAAATAAAGGAAGACAAGTCTCTGGGGAGCTCAACAAGGCAAAAGAAATGGAAAAAGCCATTTAAGAGGACAGAGACATATCCTTCAGAAACCAACCTTTTGTGTACAAAATTGAATAAATATTAATTTGGGGCAATGCGTATTAGACAAAGAGAAGAAAGACCAGGTGAGAGAAAGCAGGGCCCACCTGGGATGTGAGAGAGGGCAGGTGTGGCTGGGGCAGATAGGCAGTGGCAGGATGTTCTTGGCAGGAGGGGCTTCACAAACTTGCCTGTTGTCTCTGCCTCTTGGGGGTCTAACTGGGGGTTGGTCACCCAGATGAGACCTCATAGCCTTTTAAACACAGTTGTCCACAGGAGTGGTTTTCCCAAAGCTACTGTTGTTCTACAGTAATGCTTCCAGCCATGATCCCCATTCGACACTGGCTGTGAGTTAGGGTTTCCAAGGATCTGGAGAACCCAACCAAGGTTCCGGACATCGAAGTTGATCTCTCGATCTGCCAGAATTCTACAAACTCAGGGATGGCCTTCCAAGCTCTGGTAAACGTTCCTACCCCTAGCCAAAGATTCCAGAGAATCCCGCCCAACTTCATCAAAATGTTTTAAAATTTTAAGATCTTTCACAGATTTGGAACTCCAGGAAATCCCTACTGTGCTTCAGGGTTTCCTAGAGCTGTGCCCCATTCTAACACACCAGAGACCTTCTTCTAAGTTTGACAGCTCTGGAGAAGTAATCTCCTATTTCATGGAGCCAAGAACTGCCCCCAAATTCCAGCCTTCTGGGAAGGCCTATAGCTTTCAGGGTTGCAGAAGTGCCCTCTGGAATCCCTAAGTTTCTCAGTACGGACCTCTGGATTTAAAGAGTGTTAGTATGTTACTGGGGTTCTGTGGAATTCCTCCAGGGTTTAGGGATTCCAGAACGAGGATGCTGACTGGAAGATGGCCACACATGGCTTGAGGTGGGGGCAGTGGAGACTTAATCCCTAGAGTCCTCTGGCTATCTCTGGGAAAGTAAGTGGGGATTTTGCTGAGCTGGAACTAGGAAACTGGAAAATAGTAGCTGGCTCCAGCGGGAGAAGGGGTTGTCCAAACAGGAATGAACCGGCAACAGCTAGGGTCCCCCTGGGTGGTCCCTGTCCATTCTCCCAAAGCAGCTAAGACAGGGTCTCACGCTTGGAGCCAGGCGCCTCCCTGCCTGAGGCTGGAGGCCTCCCAGCAAGCAGGACCACCAGACATGAGGGAGATAAGGGCTCTGGGGAGGGGAGGCTCCTAGGCCCAAACCTGCTGAACCACTCAAGCTGATGTGGCATCAAAATTAACTGGAGTAAACGGAAGTGACTTAATGGCATTAATCAGGCTCACCCTCCTCCCCTCCTTTGGGTCTCTGTATGAGTATCACCTCTACAGCACCCTTCCTGGCCCCCCTATTTAGAGGGCACTTGCCCCAGCAGACGGACCTCCCTGCTACATTTTCCTCCATAGAATTTACCACTATCCGACTTGCCATGTACTTTGTCCATTTTCTTGGTTTTTTTGTTTGTGTTCTGTGAGGGTAGGGATTCTTCTGCTTTGTTCAATGGTGGCCTAAAGTAGGTTCTTGTAAGTATTTGTTGAATGAATTTTTTTTTTTGAACCCAGATTGTCAACTCCATCAAAATGTCATATTGACTAAAAACTGCCTTTGGCTGAACTGTCGGCAACAGGCAAAGCCTTATGTTATACTCATTCCACTTATCAATGGGTTTAATCCCCATGACCATCCCAGGAGGGAGTACTATTATTATATCCATTCTGAAGATGAGGTGACTCAGGCTTAGAGCATTAAATCCCTTGCCCATGATCATACATGGAAACTGATGATGCTGGGACTTGAACTTGTATGGTTGTCTCTGAACCACAGTCCCCTCTCCTGGCATCTATACTGGCTGCCTGAGGTGTCCGGTTGTTACCCCATGTGCCCAGGCTCTGCCTCCACAAATGCTGGCCTTGCACAAAGTCACCACTGTTGAACCCCCCTAATGCCCAGTCACAAGTCTTGCCTTTTAATATCTGGTCACTAGGAGCTCCCTGGGCAAAGCCAGCTTGTCTCTTGCCAGTCTTGTTGGCCACCTTTATTTGCAGTTGATGCTCTGGTGTCTGTTGAATGAATGAGTGAATGAAAGAATGAAGGAATGAACCACATGGGTCTCAGTTTCCCTAACTATAAAATGGGAGAGTTATGCTATCCTGTGGCTCTTTCTGTAATGAGGTCCTTCTGCTCACCCCATTTTCTCATGTCACATCTGGGCTTACCCCTAACTGCAGACCCATAACATCCTTCTGGGCACTCATGCCATTAATTATGGTATTTATCACCTCCTTGACTCTCAATAGAACTCAACAGACAGGGAGTCGCATCCTCATCTAATTTCTGAAAACCAGGAAGTGGTCCCTGGAGGGTGCAGGGCTTACCCACGGCTCACAGCAGGTCCGTGGCATCGGAACTCAGGCCTCATGATACCTCCAGCGCCAGGACACAGGCAGCTGGCATAGAGAGAGTCAACCGAATCAGTTTCCCTCAGGCCTCCCTCATGGAGCTGCTTACCATTCCATTACCATTTGATGCCTGCTGAGTGGCATGCAGTAGTTGCCCAGTTAAAACTTGTATAAAACACAAAGGAAATGGGAACCTGGAATATTCCTGATCAGAAGGGGACACACACCTCTGCCAAGAGTCCTTGCCACCTCCTCAGACTTCCCCAACAGCCCCTCTGTCTGGGATTCCCCCACAGGGAAGTGACTGACCACCTGGCAGATGGGACCAATTAGACTTGGAGCTGATGTCTCTGTTTATTCATATATTTCAGCACCTGCTGCCTGGTTCTCCTGAATCCAGTCTCATTCCTCATAGTCCGGGATGGCACCTCCCTTTGCTCCCCCAAACTGCCCCACCAGCCCCCAACCCCCAGCTCCCAGGAACTGTCCTCTGCTAACCAGCTGCAGAGTGAAGCATCCCCATTTCATAGCTAGGGAGACTGAAGCCCAGGAATGCAGAGTGCAGCCCAAGGTCCCACCATGGTCTCCTGGGGTTCCGCCTGGCCCTCAGCAGGGAGGGAGGACTCAGCTAGGGCTCCGTGCGTCCTTGCTGGAGGGTGGCTGGCTCCGGCCGCGTCGCAGGGAGCTGCCGATTTGGTCTCTGAGGGCTTCCAGTCTCCGGGCCAGGTTTGGAACTGCAGCCCCACCTAAGGGGTGTGGTGGGACTCAAGGCCACCCTCCCTTAGGCCCGTCCCCACCCAGGGTCCCAACGTCCTCTAGGGACGCCTCAGCTGGTACCTACTCCCCTCCCTGCCAGCATACACCATGGGCTCCAGTATCCATCTGGGCATGCAGGTGGCCCTAGGAAGAGATTTCCAAGTTTGGAAACTAGAAAAGTCTTAGAAATCACCTCTCAACCTGCACCCTATTTCAGAGATGGGGTTTGGGGAATATAGGTTCTGGCTCAAGATCGCAGAAAACACTAGCAGCTCCTCCCTCTCTCCCTTCTTCACCTCTCAGCACTGGCGATGTGTTTGGGGGCCCCATGGGCAAGGGGGGTGCAGAGGGTACCACCTCTTCCTCGGCGAGCATCTCCGCCAGGACTTGGGTCTGAGTCCAGTCACGGTGACTCCTGGGCCATGGTGAGTTGGGTGGCGGGAGGTGAGCCTTCAAGTTCCAAGTGCCCCGTCCTCCCCCGCCCAGTGCCCCAGGGCTGGACCCACCTCTCTCTTGGGCACTTGGCAGAGACAGGGTTGCATGGGGGCACCCAGGGTGGGGGCCGGGCAGACAGGAGCATGCCACCTGGGACTTTAGGACCAAACACCTGCAGGAAAGACCAGAGCTCACGCTGGACAGCCTCCGCCCTGCTTCTCTGTGCCCCACTTCCCAGTGCCCACCATAACACCACCATGCCTGCCACCATCCCTCACTGGGCACCAACAGTATCAGGTGGCATAAAGGGGCAGAGTCTTGGCCACGTTTTTCTTCAGGAAGAGAGTGGTCCTTATAATGTCTCTGGAGACTAGGAACTCCCTGTGAGTAGGAACCGTGTCTGGTCTTTTTCTGAACCCCAGAGCAGGGGTGGGCGCCAAGAAAGGAGCCCAGGGGAGGGCTATGGAATGAGCAAGTGAACACATGAAAACAGAGATGACTAAATGAGTAGTGTGTACATGAATGAACAAGAAAATGGCAGTCAGGGTTCCTGAAAGAAGGCAGGATGGGGAGGAAAGGGAGGTGAAGTCAATAGCTCTTCCAAACCCCGGGCAGAGGGAGCCCAAAGCCAGCCCCTCAACCCCATGACCCAGCCTGGGACCCTGGGATCCTGGAGCCTCCTGGATTGCTGACCCCCTAGACCAGTTCTCCAGCTCTCCCAGCCTTTCCTCACCCCAGCCCCTTGGCCTTGCCTACCTGGGGCAGGTGGAGCTCCCTCTGCGGACAGGCCCAGCGGACCAGTGGTGCTTGGCACAGGGGGCAGAGCTGGCAGCAGGGGCAGGAGCAGAGGGGTGGCAGGGCCTGCAAGAGAGCTTGTCAGAGGCTCCATGACATCCCTGTTCCTTACCCCTCCAGGCTGGACAGACACTCACATGGCAGGAGGGGGCTGGCACCACCACACAGGGACACGGTGGGGCTAGGCCAGGGCCCGGCTGGTGGAGGGAGCAGGCAGAGCGGAGGCGCCTGGAAAGATCAGTGGGGGGTGTGCCTGCAGCCCTCAACCTTACCACCATGCTGGCCCACAGGGCCCCCTTTTAAAACACACTCATAAAGCATTTACTATGTGCCAGGCTCCATTCTCAATGCTCTACGTAGGAACTCATTCAATCAAATCTTTAAAACAACCTATAAAGCAGGTCCTCTATTATCCCCATTTTACAGAAGAGGAAACCCAGGCAGGGAATGACTCACCCAAGGTCACACAGCTAGTAGGTAGCAGAGCTGGAATTTGAACCCAGGTGGTTTGGAACCAGAGGTCAGACTTGTAACAATTCCACTGAGCCACCCCTCTCCCACCTGCCCCTCTGTCCCAAGGCCTGTCTGCAGGCTGGTGGCCGTGCTCACCACTCCAGCTCCTGGACCTACTGGGCCAGGATGCACTGCTCATCTTGGGCTACCCCTCTCCCACCTGCCCCTCTGTTCCAAGGCCTGTCTGCAGGCTGGTGGCCGTGCTCACCGCTCCAGCTCCTGGACCTGCTGGGCCAGGATGCGCTGCTCATCTCGGGCCAGGTCCCGGCTATTTTGTAGCTGGCTCTTTTCTTTCCTGGGAAGAGTAGGCCCCAGAGGGTGACAGGAGGCAGGGCTGGGTGGGAGTATCAGTCAGCCCCTCCTGACCGCCCAGGAGGCAGGTGGGAACAGAAGGGAAGCCAGGGACCAGGGCGGGGAAGAAGGTTGGCAGAAGCAGCCCAGAGGTGAGGGGTGAAGCACAGAGTCCCCCTGGATGGGAACGGGACCTACCTTAGCCTCTCGTTGTCCAGCATGAACTCCTGCAACATCCCGTAGAGGTTCTGCTGGGCCCAGGTCATCCGGGCCCCACTGAGACCTGATGCTGCAGGGAAGGGGGTGGTGGCTGGATCCACAGGAGCCCTAGAGCCTATCCATGTCCCACCCTTTCCCCCGGGAAGCTCATACCCTTGGGGTCCATTTGGCTCAGTTGGGGCTGCAGGTGGTGGTTCTCCTCCTGGAGCTGCAGCATCTCCGTCTCCAAATGCTGGGGCTGCTTTGCCACAGGGGACTGCAAAGACAGAGGCTCCAAGCTGCTGCTTATGGCTGTACAAGTTGGGCACTGCTCAAGGGCTTCCAGGGGTGGAGTGAATGGAGCTAAAATCCAGCCCATGCTTCACTTGGCAGCCCTGTACCCTGGCACAAGGCTGCATCCACCTGGAGGGGACACTTAATCCTAACTACATTGGAGTGCATGTGGCCTTAGCTGCATGCCTAGAGGGCCCATTCTAAGCTGGAACTGCTCCAAATCCAACCCCAAACTCAGCTCTGTTCAAACCTTGGCCCAGATTCTGACCTCAGACAAAACCCCCCATCAGACCCCAACTCAACTCAGACTTAATCCTGATACCAGTTGGGATCCTGGCTAAACCCTGAATCAGACCTCAGATGAGACTCCAACTTCAGACCCTCCCTAACCCTGACCACGACGCTGATCCCACCCTACCCAATCATGACCCCATCGTCAGAATTACAGCTCTTATCTCAGCTCTGACGCAGGTCCATCCCAGACCTCACCCCTGCTGCCAACTCAGACTCCAGCCGTTGCCTGATCCCCCACCATCTCCCCTGCCTGTGCTTCTGCTTGTGTCTCCTTCCATGCACCTTGGGGGCCTGTGGCCGAGTGGTGACCCGCTGAGCTCGGCTTGCATATCGCAGGGTGCTGAGAGTTTCAGGAAGACACTGGGCAGAGGGGGACACGCAGGCCACCTGGGGAGGACTGTCCCTGAGTGTTCCTCTCTGGGAGACCCTCCCTCAGGACCCAGCCCTCCCTTCAGGCCCCTCGGGTACCATGAGGGTAACCCCGTGCCCCCCCAGTGAGTCTGCCAGTAGCTTGGTGAGCTTGCTGTCCCGGAAGGGGATGTGGCTCTGCTTCCGTTGTGGGTCCAGCAGCAGGGAGATGCAGTGACCTGGGTGGGGACAGTAAGGCCCAGCAGGGTTACAATCCTTGCACAAGGCCACCCACCTGGTACATGCAGAGCTGGGATCCTCACTCAGTCCTGTGTGACTCTAAAGTCCCCTTTTCTAGATGATCTGTTACTCATTCAATTTTGGCCTCTACCACCAGACTAGAGCTCCTGAAGGCTGAGATGGCCTTGTTTATCCCTTATCTCCTATGGCCACCAAAGGGTCTAGCATTCAGCAGGGGCTCAGGAAATGTGTGACAAATGGAATGAATGAAGAAGAGGTCCCTGAGCACGTCCCCACACATGTCACAGAGGAAGGCTGAGGCCCCAGACCTTCCAGACCTCAAGGGCCAATGACCTGGGATGGGGTTGGGAAGATAGATCAATGCCCTTCCCCTCACTGGGCCTCAGTCTTCCCAACTGCTCAAGGGACAGGTTGAATGTCTCTGAGGGCTCATATTCTGTACTTGCGCATTTCTTCCTCCCAAATTTGAATGTACCTGTATAGACCCTCGGGTTTATAGATTCATACAGTTCCAAGAGGGGAGGCAGCCATCAGTAGTAAGCTGAGGCCTGTGGCTCCCAGGCCACAGCTCTTTGACTCTCCTCCATACACTGCAACTCCTCTGGTGTCCCCCGCTGCAGCCAGCTAGGGGTCAGGCACAGAGGAGGGACACGGGACGCCCATCCAGCTGGCCCAAGGTCTCACCCAGGGCTAGTAGGCTGCGGTTGATGCTGTTGGCCTCCAGCATCAGCTCTCCACGAGATCCTGTGGCTGCCACCTTCTCACTGCCAGCCAGGTCTACAAAGCACAGCTTCCCACCAATAGGAGCTTCTCTGGGGTCCACATGAGGCATCTGCTGCAACTGGGGGATGCGGGCTTGACTGAGACTTGGAAGGGACTGTCCCCATCAAGGGTTTCCACTATGACCTCCTGTGCATGCCCAAGTTGGTTTATATGCCCAGAGGCAGACCCTTGCTGGGTGACCCCAGGCCAGCTCCTTCTCCAACACTCACAGTTTGGTGGCTAATGTACAGTGTGAGCAGGGCATGGCTTCGGCTGGAGGCCTGGTTCAGCGTGTGAGCTGAGCTCCTTCGACGGCTAAGCCCTAGAGGGAAAAACATCAGGAGCTGAACCTGGTAGGAAGAGCAGATAATCACTGGTAATAAGAAAGGAGCAAGGCATCCTGGGAAAGGGGCCAGCCCGTGCAAAGGCAAGGGCATGAAAATGGAATGATGGCTCATGGGGTCCAGCTCTAGCATGGATAGGTAAAAGGGGGATGAGAGAACTGAGCAGAAGAATTATCAGTCAGATTCACATTTTATAAACATCTCTCTCGCTGCTACGTGGTGGGAGGGAAACTCAGATCAGCTAGAAGGCGTGGCACAACACTAGGGCCAGAACCGAGTTTCAGTGTCCCCAGTGCCTGCCACATGGTGGGTACTCAATAAATACTTGATGGCTGAATGGATGAGAGTGGAACAGAAGGGCTTTACAGATTTGACCTAGAGGTGTGACTTTTATCCTTGGGGTACTGGAGGGTCTGCAGGGAAAGAGGAATGTGGTTTGCAGCTTGGAGGCACGAGGAGTGGAGAGAGGCTTGAGGTAGGGGGACCTCTGCAGGGAGCAAAAAGGAGGCCTAAGGCAGAGGCTCTGAGTTGGAGGGGAGGGGTGGGCCCTGAATGTTTAGAAGGCAGAATCTGTAGGCTGGGGGATGGGGTGAAGGGACATCCTGTGTCTTTGTCTGAATTGTTGGTTTGCTGGCCCTTTTACCCAAAGGAGTCCTCTCCGATTCCAAAGCTCCACTCAGGTACCGAGGGCACACTCAGGGAGGAGTTGGGGAACGGGCATCCCTGCACCCCAAAGCTCCCCTGAAGGAGCACGCACCCATTTGCAGAAGTTCCATCAGGGCTCCCAGACTCCCAAACTCCACCACCCGAAGCTGCTCCACGTAGAAGCCCCGGGTCTTGTTCCAGCGAACAGGAAGGGGCTGGGAAGACCCCGGGCTCAGCAAGTCTCGAACCTAGGAGATGAGGGTGCGGGGTAAGGGAAGGGGCATTCTCTGAACCTTTGTCCCATACACCCCCAGACCTTCTTGTCAATAGTCCACAACCTCTTCTGCTGCCCCTTGAACCAGACTCCTTGGAACGAAATGCCTCCTTTTGCCTTTTGGGCTTTCTATTCATCTCAGTCCCCCACCTGCTCATTGTAGATCTCAAGATAGGAGGCATGGAGGGTGACAGGGGCACCCAGGTGCTGCACACGGTCTAACAGCCAGGTGAAGGTCCTCTGCATGATGCCAGCCAGACTTGGGGGTACAGGGACCCCCTCCCCCTGGAGGCAGAAACATCTGAGCTTGGGACTGGGTCAAGATCATTACCAAGTTATCACAGTAATGACCACCCTTGTAGAGCATTTACTATGCACCAAGAACCATTCCAGCTTCCCATACATCTCATTTTATTGAGTCAGCACTATCAGTTCATTTTACAGATGAAGAAACAACTAGTAAGTGAAGGAGACAAAATTGGAACTCCATATCGCACACCTCCCTTCCCCTCTACGCTGGTTTCCTTCTCCACAAATCAGCGAGCTGGGCTGCCTTGTTCTAACACTTTCACATCGTCAGGCTGAGCTGCCTGCGGCTCCCCAGGGCTTCCAGCCAACCTTCACCCTAGTGCGCTACCCCCCGCCCCCCACCTAGCTTGCGCTCGGCGCACCTGGGGAGGAGGCCCGGTCAGGGTGTAGGTCTTCCCGGAGCCGGTCTGGCCAAAGGCGAAGACGGTGCAGGAGAAGCTGCGGGCGGCAGGGGCGTGGCTCGACCCAGTGACGGGAGACGCAGGGAGGTCGGGGCAGGGGCGCCGGGCCTCGCGGCCTCACTCACCCGCGCAACGCCAGCTCGCCCAGGCGCCGCACGCCGCAGGCCCGGAACACGTCCTCCTGCGTGCGCGCCCCGTCCAGCACGGCGCCGAAGCGGAACGCCACGTCGGGGCCCCCGCCCGGGGGGCTCACCTAGAGCAGGGGGCGGGGGGGGTACTCCTGGGAAGGCCGGCTGGAGCCCAGTTGCCTGGAGGAAAGGACAGGGAGACCTCGGGGCAGGTTTTTTGCGGGGAGTGTCACGGAAGCGGTTCCTCACCTGCAGAGTCCGGGTCCCTGAGCAGTGTAGCGCACTTTGTTCCCCCCGACGCAGCTCGGCCGTGTTCATGGGGCGCACCCTGGGGGTCGTCGAGAAGGCGGATGGTGTATTTCATGTCCCATCGATCCCTTCCTCGCTCTGCCCCCACCCCAAACCAGCCAACCTCTACCTACCTGAGCACCACCTGGATAGGCGTCTCTGGCGCCTCTGGCCCATGCTCCAGGCCGCGCGCGGGGTCCCTGTCGCAGCAATGGGAATTACCATCCTTGAGCCCAGCGGCTCCTAGAACCTACCCAAATTTCTGCTTACCCGTCGGGGGACCCGCGTTCCTCCATGTCCTGTTTTGCACACGGACTTAGCTCCGCCCCGGGTCTCATTCCTTTCCCCACTGCCCGCCCTTCTCCACCACACTGGGACTGGTTGTAGACACCTTACATTCCCACCCCCACCCCACTTCCCAGGCAACCAACCATCCGGAAAGGCTAGGTCCTGAGCAGAGCTAGCTAGTTAAAGATTTACCCTCTCCCACCACTGTGGTGGAGAAAGCCTCTCCCAAGCTAGGGACCCCTAGCTAGCGGGTTCTGCAGTCTGAGGATCTCTGGCTCTTGCCCAGTCTCATCAAAAGGGACCACCCAAACCAGCCTCTTCTGTGCACTGATAGGAATACAGAGGCAGGGATGGGAAGGACTCAGCCAAGGACCAGGATCTTCCTACTGCCTACATATTCCTCCTCCGGTTTTGTAATCGTCCTTTTCCCTCCCCAGCAGCTCTAGCTTCTAAGCTAGAAGAGGGTGGGGGTGGGGCAGAGGGGAGGGGCCTCCAGGGGCGGGAGGGGCTCAGGTCTCAACTCTCTAGGGAAGATTTGGCCTGAGTTGAGCTGACAACAGGCCCTGAAGCATCTGGTTAAACCTTGGGCCGCCTGCTTCTCCAGTGCCAAGAGAGATTCAAGGCCAGGGTGATTGTTTAACCCTCTCCTGGTCTGGCTGTTGAGACCAGCAGAGATGTCTGTGAATGTGCAGGGGTGGGGCAGTCACCCATTCAGTCCCAGTCTCCATACTGGCAGTGGGAGCAGAGGAATCCCACCCATAGTCTTGCTCGGGAGCAGGGTAAGTGCAGTCTAGTGTGGGAGAGCTTTGGAGGCAGTTCAGAGGCCTGTAGAAGCAGGGAGGTGAAGGTGGTAGGAGAGGGTGTTGGAGGAAGGGAAACCCACTGCAGGGAGGCTGGGGTGAGGTGGGGAGGTGTGTGTGGCATGTAGAGGTAGTCTGAAGCTGAATCAAGTTCATAGAGGCTATATCATGGAGTCTGGACTCATTCCTGAGGGAACCAGGAAGTCATTGAAAGGTTGCACACAGGGAAATGCCTCATTAAATAGGCATTATTATTATTGTTGCCATTCTGGCTGTGTCTCTGTTCTCTGAATATTTCTGTAAATTCTTCCCTCTAACACACCTTAGGACAAAAGCCTTACTCATCATCCCCCTTCAATGGAACATGCTCTATACCACCACAAATGACAGCCAACTATCAAAGACAGCCAACTAGGGAATGATTTATTTTGAGTGGCAATGAGTTCCTCACACATTGGAGGTGTGCAAGCAACAGCCAGTTAACCTTTTGGTTATAGGGTTTTCTAGCTGGATCTATAGGGAAGAGTCAGGAAGAACAAATATCCATTGTCCCCAGCTCTGCCACTAATATACCACAGAACCTTGGGCAAGTCATTTCCCCTTTCTTAACCTGTTTCCTTCCTATAAAAAAGAGATTAATGATTTTCCATAATTCTGAGATTTTTAATGAGACCGTGTAGTTAAAAGTGGTTCATAAATTGTAAAGAATTATCTAAAAGCAGAAATAAAAATCCCTAGATGATCTCCAGTATTCCTTTCAACTCTGAAGCTCCTTTAATCAATTATATATTTTTAATTCTTGAGGTGAGTAGGGTAAGAATCACTATTTCTGTTTTTCAGATGAAAAAAACTGAGGAAAACAGAGATGGGCAGGGGAGGTTGCCTAAGAAGAAAGCTATGTGGTGGAACTGAGTGAGTTTAAACCTAGAACTATGGATTCTAAGTCCTGGCCCTGGCCTGCACTGGCTGGCATGGCAAGTTGCCTTTTGCAGTCGTAAACTGAATAAATTATTCTGTTAAATGCCCTTAAAAGAATTAAGGACTATCAGTCATTCACATCTTGGTGTGCTTCTGCTTAAACTCATTGCTTTCCTTCTTCAAACTGGACGGAGATGAGCCACCTGAAGGAATTTTGAGAAAAGTACAGGGACAAAGGCTACGTGGGTGTTGGGATGTGAAGAGCTGTTTGTAGGGGATTTTGCACCAGGCTTTCCTACCTGAGTCGGAATGCTACATCACTGATGTCCACAAGTAGGAGCAGAGCTCTGTTCTATTTTCTAACAATGAGTGAGAATATTGGCTACCTTTAAGTCGAGCATTCATTTACCAAATTTTTTATTAAGCTTTCTCTATATGCCAGCTTCTGGGCACTTGAGATGCATTAGTGAACAAAGTAGACAATACAAAGTATTTGTGGGAATGTAGAGCATCGGGGACTCTCATACATTACAGGTTAGAGTGTAAACACAATCACTTTCTGAAGACTGTTTGGCAATATCTACTAAAGCTAAATATATGCCTCTCCTATGTTTGAGAATTTCTACTCCTAAGTCTGTGCCTAATAGAAATGAATGCACATGTACAAGAATATTCAACGCAGCTTTATAGTCATTTTAGCCACCATCCCCATCACTACAACCATTATTGCTACTTCCATAATCATCATCATTGGACCACAATCTTATCACTGGCACTGCCAAAATTCTACCATCACCACCAATACCTACAAAAACAGCAGTCCCCATAATCACTTAGCCACTGTGACCATCGCTACCATCAACATCACAATAATAAAAGGAGTAAACACCTCCTGTTAATTAATTTGAAAAAATTAAAGATACCACCCCTGGGCTCCTATCCAGTGGTGCCCTTCATTGACCAGATGCTGCCTGTTCCCACAGCTGGGGCTGTGTCCATCTGTGTCTCCCTTCCCTCTATTCCCAGACTGCACCTTTTCCTGGGAGCAGTGGGACCCCCCGTGGTTGAGGGAGGGACAGAGGGAGGGTTTGCAGGGAAATTCAGTATCTCAGGAGCGGGCAGGACCCCGCAGGGGTGCAGGTCCAGCTCTCACTAGAGGGCAGCAGAGCACCGTGCCACCAGGGCCCCAGGGCTCGCCACAAAGGAGGCTTTGTCAAGCATGGCCTTGCTCTTTCCATACATTCTCTCCTGAGCTCCTGTACTGCAGAGGGGCTGGCCAGCCTGGTCATGGAGAAGGGTGAGCAGGCCCTCAAGGAACTCTCCTTGAAGGAGTGAATAAAAGCAACACTGAACAATCAGGCGCCCCTCCCTGACACAACCCTGCTCCTGGGTCCAGCCCCTTCAGTCCACTCTGCTCCCTTCAGCCCCAGCCATTGCCCTTGGGAAAACCCTCCCCTGGCTTCCTGGGGACTCAGGGTAAAGTCTGACTCCCTTGGCTGGGTCTCAAGGGCATTCTGGCTCGATTTTCTGCTGACCCCTCTGGCTGTCTCCCTCCCCTACCTACTGTCCCTTACCCCTGCATCTTGTGCTCTAGCCCATGGTTTTCCTAGGCTTCCCTTTGAGTCCTCTAAACCTTTTACCCTGCTGTTCCCTCTGCCAGGAGCACTCACGTCTACCTGGTGGACTTGTCCTGCAGGCCTCCCTGCAGAAACCTTCCCCCAGTGATCCCTACCCACCAGGTCAGGTTGGAGCCATGCCTGTGTCCCCACAGTCTCCTGGGCTTCCCTCTGTTACAGTACTGATCCCACTGGGTTGCTCTTCCTTCTGCTGGGGGACAGGGATTGTTGGCTTCATCCCTGTAGTCTCTGAGCCAGCACAAGGCTCTGCATGCAGTAGGAGCTCAGCAAATGTTGGTGCAAGGAAGGGAAGGAGCAGGGTGTGGAAGAGAGGCTGGCTAGAGGTTGGTAGATTCAACCCTCATCCCTCCCCGACTCCATTTCTCCTCCCTCCCTTCCTCTCAAGGCTAACCACAAATGCTCAGCTTCACGATGTAAGGATTCATTTAGGGACTCATTTATCATGGAGATCATCAGCCCCTGCCACAAAGCTGCTCTCAGATGTACCCAGAAGCTGGGCAACACCCGCCTAGCCCCAGCCAATCTAGCCTCTTGGGCCAAACATCTGCTACAAATTTAGAATTCCCAGAGGGGGGAAGACCACTCCCTGGGCCCAGGTAAGCCCAGGTGTCAATGCTCCTTCCAGCACATTGCACAGGAGGGCTCGTCCCCATCTGTCAGATGCAGGGATGGGCCTTGTGGGAAGAGGTTGAGCCCAGTCTGAGGCTTAACCTGCCATGACAGCCTTGCATTGGATTGAGGTGGAACAGAGATGAGAAAGAGGATGGTGCAGAAGAAGTTCTCCTTTATCACATGATACTCATCTTTCATTGTTCCCCTTGTACCCTCCACCCTTCTCTCCCACCCAGGAAAAGCCAGATGGGTTCAAGACGTGTTGTGAAATTTTCCAAACAGGGCTTGATGTTATCTTTAATTAAAATGTGAGTGTAGGCCATAGGACTCATTTCATAAAATTCTCCAAAGCAGAGACCTTAAGGGATCATTGGATTAACATCTGTCTGGCTCCCTATCACATTTTACAGATGGGAAAACTGAAGGGAGGGTCCAGCAGTTGCATTCCTGGTGGAGAGCAGTGATTTTAGGATGAGATGGAGAGAGTCACGGTGATTCATTGGCATCCCTGGCCACCACCCTTTCCTCGCAGAAATGCCTAGATCATCTCCTCCAAAGCCTCACGTGGCTTTTCTTGCTGTGTATGGTAGGTACTGGCAGTCATACAGGCTTCCTGCTAGACAAGGAGCTTTGTGAGGGTAGGAATCACATCCCAATGCCCAGCACAGGGCCTGGCCCAGAGTCATACCCACTGTCTGTCTGATGAAGGCATGAGGGTCCAGCAAGAGGACATGAAATACCATGAAGCCAAGTTTGGTCTTTTGGTGAAGATGAGCCTCTACAGGTAGTTGTGAAATCAAAGGGGGTGTTGCAATTCCCTGATGCGTCCAGGATCTTGGCGCTTATCCCAAGAAATGTAAATGGCTTTGCCCTGAGTCAGTCTACCAGTTGTTCTCCCAGGAATGACTTACCTACGTGCTGGATATCTTCCCATAAAAACAATAATGTTAATATGTAGTAATGTTAAGGGGTGTCAAGGGTCATGTCTTGCAAAATGATGACTCATGTGTCTAGAACCTTCTGGGTCACAGGACTGGAAGCTAATATTGTTGAACACTGGGCACTTTTTCTACTTCATTTTATTTGATATTCAAAGCAACCCTCTGGGACTGGCACT